AGCACAATACACAAGCGTGCGTGTGTGTGCGCGCACACACACACACACACATGCACTTAAAATAAAATAAATATATATGTTTTAAAAAGAATGGTAAAGGGGCTGGAGAGATGGCTCAGTGGTTAAGAGCACTGTCTGCTCTTCCAATGATCATGAGTTCAATTCCCAGCAACCACATGGTGGCTCACAACCATCTATAATGTGAACTGACTGATTCCTTCTTCTGGCAGATGTAAATGCAGATAGAATACTCATATACATAAAATAAATAAAATCTCTAAAAAAAAAAAAGAATGGTAAAAAGAGAAGAGACAAAGAGCCTACCAGAAAGGGGTGGTGAAGTGGGGATGAAGGGGAGATGAAAAAAGGCTTGAATATGGAGGGCATCATCAGAACACAGGACCCACTCAGGCTCGAGATGCTTAAACACAGCCTCCGTCCAATTATTTGCTGGCCACTAAGCTAAGCAGACATGAGAATCTAGTCTTTAAAATAAAGCCCAAAACTGAATGACGCATAATGAGCACACACTATAAGGAAAACAGATTACACAGACTGGGCCTGCCAACTCTCTTCACAAAGAAGATGAAAAAACGCAATTGTCCAGTTCTCAGCAGCAACTTTGAAAAAGAGATGTCAGTGGATTGATGCAACACACATGCCCATGTCCCTCAGCACAGGCTTGGTTGCAAGATTTCAAGCCGGATACTATAGCTGCAGAAGGGGAACCTGCAGGGGCTCCTGGGTAGAATTGCTCTTGGGCCTCAGTTTCTATTGCTAATGGCAACATGGGAGAAATCCTGTTGGAAACCAGTCTGAAGCTGGAGGGACTCGCTCCTAGAGTTCTCACTGTGACAGCACACCTGGCTCCTATACACCACAAGATCCTATCTCTGAGACGGACCTACAGAGATGAGAGGGGAAAGGAATGAACAGTCTGAGGTGGATTGTATTGAGAAAGGGGAAGAAATTGGAAGTATCTTAAAAAACAAAAGAGAAAAAAACTCCCTCGGATTGGATATGGGATTGGTCAAGTGACCCAGAGGATATCCCCCCCTTCCACCCCGCAAAGCACTCCTTTTTAAACAGCGGAAGTACACAGCTCCTCTCAGCGTGAGACAGAGCCCTGTGAAGAAAAGGGGCTTCCTCTCAGTGGGCCTTCTGATGGTTTTCCTCAGCCTCTGCTCTCTCTTAGCAGCTGGCAACTGACTGGGGCTCCATACTAGAAGGTTCGTCTGACAACCTCCACTGGCATCTTTGGAGAACTAGATCCTCCTTGTTCACAAGGCAAGGATTCCTGTCTGAGCTGCGACAGCTACCACAAGGTCCCTGGAGAGCTGTGCCTGCTGTGTTTAACTGTTCTGGTCACAAGGTCTTAACTGAGAAAGATGAAGGAATCAACATTGTAATACCTATATCATCATTTAGTCAACATCTCAGGGTGATACACTTTTCTTTGTATATTAGTTATAAACAGTTCAAATGTTCAAATGCACTCACAGACTAGCACTCAGAGAAAGAGTGAGAATATGTGGGAGTGTCCTTTGCCAAGGTGATGATTTTGAAGGCTGCCTTTTTGAAGCTGTACAGGTTAAAGCCCAAGAAGACATAAGAAAACAAAATATTCTATATGCATGCAGACACAAAAATTGAACTGTTAGCAAATTAGCAGATCAAACCCATCAGTATTTAGACATTTAAGACGTTTAGTATTTCATGACCAAACAAGATTTGGTCATAAATATCAAAGTTGCAAAACAATTAATACAAACATATAAATAGATTCAAAGGAAAATATCACAGTTACCTCAAAAGAAGCAGAAATGCATATAATGACATTGAGGACTCACATGAAAAACTCTCAGCCACCTGGGAATAGAAGAAGACTTCTTCCTAACTCAATAAAAGGCAATTAAGAAATCCCCACAGCTAACATCATGCTTGATTGAAAGGAAAGCCAACTGCTTTCTTTCCAAAACTGAGAACAAGACAAGAAATATCCACTACAATTATTGAATATTATCCTGAAGTTTTGCCAGTTTAATAAGTAAAATAAAGGTTAGGTGATCTTTACTCATGGTGATACTACATTTTCAAATTACAGGGACCCACTAACAAGCAAGTTCACCCAGGCAGGAAGACACAAGACCAACATACAACATCAACTCTGGTTTTATTCTTTATCAACAAACCATCCAAAAGAAACCAAGAAAACGGCTCTCCTCACAGCACTATCAACTACTAAGATGTCTGGGGGTTTAGCAAGAGAAACTCACAGTGTGGACAAAAAACTGAAGCGCCACAGGGAGCTGATGAGGCTCCAAACTCCTGCTCATTTCTAGATGCCATCAAGACATCAAGTCACAAGTTTTCATTTTATATGGACCTTTTTATTTATGTATTTTAAAATTAGCATACAATGCGATGGCTTCATTGTGGCATTTGCATGCACACACACACACACACACACACACACACATACATTGTTGTCATTCTTCCTTTACTCATTGTTCTGTCCCCTGTCCCCTACTTGTCTTTTCCTCCTCCCAAAAACCCCCCTCTGCTTTCATGTCAATCAGATTCCATCCCCCTCTTTTCTCTCCTCTCTCCATTCTCTCCTCTCTCCTCTCTCTCTCTCATATGTCCCTTCCTAAATTTATAATCCACACACACATACACACATGGGATAAATCTCACTTGGTTATGGAATGGTCAATGCCGGGAGCCAAAGCTATCTACTGAAGCCAAAGCCAATAAATGAGCCAAAGCCATTTAGTGGAGCCAATGCCAATTAGTGGAAAAGTTACCAACAGCTGCACTAGGACCCTAGGTCATGGGTGATAGATTTATGTGAGAACATCTGCTCGTTAGTCTTGGAGCATCCTTGAGATATCTTAAGGAAACATTTTTACAGTATCTTGCAGGTGCGGTATCTCAAACCATAAAGCACTCTTGCTATCTTCTGCAGCAGTAAATAAGCCTTCCCCCTTTTTCTGCCTTCTCCCTATATAAAATTGTGTAAAAATTCTAATAAACAAGGCTTTGATCAGAGAAACAGACTTAGCCTCATTCTTTGTGTCTCTTTGTCCTACTTCATTCTTTCCACCCCCACCCTTTAGAAACCCATTGAAGTCCCATGGGTCGGGACAGATCAATAAATATTGTTGGATTTGAATTGCTGACAATTTTTGTACCTAGGATCCGCATAGGAGGGAATTTTTTCTATTTTTACTATACATACACACATACACACATGTGTACTAGGTACACATATATATAGTGAATGTCTGTAGCCTAGGTTAGCCTCAGATTCATGTACCCAAGGATGGCCTTGAACTCCTGGTCCTCTTGCCTCTAGGATTACAGGTGTGCACCACACTTATGAGATGCTAGAAATTAAACAGTGCTTTGCGCATGCAAGGCAAGCACCCTGTCGAATGAGCTATGCCCCTAGTCGTGTGGTATGGTCTATGTGAAAGCCAGTGTTCATTATCAACTTGATAGAATGTAGGGAGACATGCTTATGAACATGAATGGTGGCTTAAAAAAATATGATCCCCATTGATTCATGTATTTGGATGCTTGGTCCAAAGGGAGTGGCACTATTAGGAGCTGTGGCCTTGTTGGAGGAAGTATGCCACTGTGGGGGCAGGCTTTGATGTCTCCTATGCTCAAACTATACCCAGTGTGGCACACAGTCTCCTGGTGCCTTCGGATCCAGACGTAGAACTCTCAGCTCCATTTCCAGCACCATGTCTATGCGCACTCTGTCATGTTTCCTACCATGACAACAATGGACTAAACCTCTGAATTGTAAGCTAGCCCTAATTTAATGTTTTCCTTTGTAAGAGTTGCCATGGTCACTGTGTCTCTTCACAGCAGTGGAGCCCTAACTAAGACAACATACCTATGAGAAATTATCTTAACTGGGTTAACTGAGGTACCTTTAGGTGGGTGGCACCATTTCATGGCAGACCTGAAATGACCCCTAATGTCAGAGGCTTGCTCGCCTGAGCAGAGTGACGACCCCTCTGGTGGATCTAAGAGGTAGAGACTAAAGGAAGGTCTTCAGGTCACTGGTGGAGACCCAGTTATTTCCTTCTCTTGCCTGTGAAGTAAGTGGTTTTACCAGGCCGAGTGATCCTCATCAGGATGTGCAGCTTCCTCGTGGGCCCAGCAGCTCTGAGGCCAATAGATCATGACTGAACCTCCCAAACTGGGAGCCAAAATAAATCTGTTTTTTCTTCTTAGTGGTTGGTTCATATTAGGCATTTGTTATCATGATGAAAAAACTAACACAGTTACAGAAATACATACTTCTGACATCTGGAAAATCTTTGTATCTCAAAAGTCTAGCACAAAACCGCTTCATTAGTTAACAAGCAATCAAGAAACTTGCTAGCCAAGAAGGAAGACAGGCATGTGCACTAAGAAAGGCCTCCCAAACAGCAGCTAAGACAGGCAGCACTGAGAAAGTCACCCCACCACCCGCGCTGTGGCTGCAGGTAGGAGCAAGCTGCCTTCAGCCAGTGTTTCCAAAACACTACTGATGGGCACAGAGGAAAGCCAGCGAGCTTCAGGGGCCATGGTGGGCTCAGAGCCCTGTTCACTGTCAACGTAAAGAAGAGAAAGGAAGCTGGGGCGAAGCTTGGCCGGTAGAGTGCGCCTCTGGTACACGTGGAGCTTTGAGTCAGTCCTCAGCACCACACACGCCAGGCGTGATGTCGCCCACGTGTAACCCCAGCCTGGGGAGTGGAGGCAGCAAGTCCAGAAGTTCGAGGTCAGCCTCAGCTACATGAGAGCCTGTCTCAGAAAAAAAGAAAAAGAAAAAAAAAAAAAAAAGCAAGAAAGGGGGAAAATAATGAGAAGAGAAGGAGAGAGAGCAGAGGGAAAGAAGTGAGTGTTAGTCAGTGTGCTCTTTGCATCCTGGGCAGTGTCCATCAGAGTGATCTGCGAGATGGAAGAGAAGCAAGGCGCGGTGACAGAGAAGGGAGAATCACCTTCTGAATCCTTGTCGTAGAAGACGCCGTGAGGATGCAAAGAGAAAGGTCTGGAAGCGAAGTTCTTCAGGTGGATAACAATCACGTCGCCCACTTCCGCTCTCAGGATGGGACCCAGGAACCCCAGCCACGGGGGCTTGGGGATCTCCGTGGAATAGCTCCCATCTGTGAAGTGTCTGTAAACGGCCTTCTTGTAGATGCCGCCTATCCTGTTGGGCCCTCGTTCGAGAAATAGGGTCGCAAGTCTGGAAGCAAGAGGGAAAATGTTTTCAGTTGCAATTCAAGGAATAGCCTTTGTAGGGTCATCGAATTCTTGTTACCATTTCTAATTTGGTGTTGACATAATAAGCCATGGCCTCTATGGACTCGGCAAGAGTATTTTTAACTTGCCAGTGTGGAAATGACAAGTCAAAAGGCATAAGTAGTGCTCACAGCCAAACTGAAAGAACAGCAAAGTGTGCTGAAGCCAAACTGTCCGCTCACCCCTTCCAGGCCAGTGTGTGTGTGTGTGTGTGTGTGTGTGTGTGTGTGTGTGTTTGTGTGCGCTTGCCTATGTACACATATATGCACATTTGTAGGGAGGCCAGAGTCAGATCTCAGGTAGTTTTCTCAGCCACTATCCACTTTGTTTTCTGAGACAGGATCTCTTGCTTTAACCTAAAACTTGGTGATTTAAATGGGCTGCCTGGTAGTTAACCTGGTCATCTGCCAGTTCTCACCTCAAGTACTAGAATTACAAACGGAGCCACTAGTGTGGTAAGGACTTATGACTGAGCCATCTCCCCATCCCTCTCCTTCAGTTCCCGTTCAGCTCACACCTAACCCTAACCCTAACCCTCAAGTGTCCCCGGTGCTGTGCAGGTACAAAGGGACTCTACAAGGGACAATAAAATACTGGACAAAGCAATGAGGTCCAGAGGTAACTGAGTGGCTGAAAAAACAGGCTCGGGCACAGCTTTTCTTATATATAATATTTGTATTAATTCTTTGAGAATTTCAAGTGTGTATTCAATGTATTTTGATTTGTATTTCACCCCCAGTCATCCTAACTCCTCCCGGGTCCAACCCTATCCTCAGCCCACTTCCAAAGTCATGTCCCATTAAAAAACTGTTAAAACTTGACAAGGCCATTCTGTGCAGCCTACACATTCTCAAGTGTGGGACCATCCCCTGGAGATGCTGACTACCAGAGGCCACAACCCTTACAGAAAAACATTCTCTCCCTCCCTCAGCAGCCGTCAGCTGTCAATAGTGCTTCAGTTGCAGGAGAGCGCGCATGAGGCCTTCCTGCTTCGAGCCAGAATGTTAACCGGCTTGATCTTGTGCAAGTCTTTTACAGGCAACCACAGCAGCTGTGCGTTCACAAGTTGGCACCTCTGTCATACCCAGATGACACAGTTAAACACTGGGTCCTCCCAACTTGTGGATCTCACAGTGTTTCCATCCCCTCCTCTATGATGCTCCCTGAGCTGTGTGTGTGTGTGTGTGTGTGCATTCTTGAGACACATGTGTGAGTATGTGTATGTGCATGTGTGTGCGTTTGTGTGTGTGCATGTCTGTGCATGTGTGTATACATGCCTATATGTGTCTTGTGTATTTGTGTGTGTGTGTATGTATATGTGTGACCGTGTATGTGTCTGCATTTTTGCATGTGAACATGTGTGTTGGGGGGATTGATGCACATATTTATGGCTGATGCTCCATAGACACTTGTTCTCTACATTTTGGTCACTTGTGTGTGTCTCCATTAGCCACCAGCATTGCACAATGGAACTTCTCTGATGAGGTCTGAGAGCTCAGGCAAAACTTTCCTAAAAATAAGGAGAGTTCAAAGGAGCATGCAGATGAGGAAGGAAAACACAGGAAGAGACCCACAAGCTGTGGAAAGAGGGAACAATGGGGAGGGAGAGGTGTGAGCAGCAGGTGAGGAGTAGGTTACACACTGGGTACAGGCCTGAGAGGCTGAGTCCCTGAGGCTGCATGTAAGTGGTTAGGTGGTTAGTGATGAAAAACCTTCAACTCCAGCTTGAAGAACTTACCGTTTCCTGGGAAGCACGGACTCATAGCATGATTGACATAGTAATCGTGTTTTAAGGATTCTGCTTACAATAGTGGTATGGACATTTTAGAGGAGGCAGGCAAAAGAAAGAACACAATGAGGGGTAGACAGGCAGTTAGGAGAGAGGAAGAAGGAAAAGGAGGAACCAAGATTCTAGCACTGGATGCTACAGCAGCCCTCCTGGGACCTCAGGGTGAAGGGAGGACTATGCTTAAAGCTTGGAGCGCTGGCTCAGATCACTTGTCAGAGGCCATGATAGCTTCTCCAGGGAAGGGGAAGCCACCTCATACTGTGTCTTTATGTGGAACCTGTAACTCAGAACCCAGCAGCACTGCCCTCACCCCACCCCCAAGTCCCCCATCCTCCATCCTCCCATTCCTCCATGCCTGCACACCAGCTCTGGATCCATCCCCAGCTCTACCGTTTCTAGTCACAGATGTGCTCGCTGGGTGCAAGAGGTCAAGTCCAGCCAGGGACACAGTCCTGAAATGGGTGTGCATTCAACATACACCACTGTGACAACCCTTGGACTCAGTACTCAAGATCAGAGAGGAGACGGTCCCTTACCTGAAGGAGCTCCATTTTTGGAGGGTGACTTGTGAGAACACAGATTGTGAACTGAGCAGAAGAGGTAAGGAGAGGTTTTTTACACAAAGTGGGATGTGAAATAAGCTCCTTCAGAACTTATCTCTAGGGGAATTCAGAAAAGAGGAGCTGCGGAGGCCAAGGAGAATAGAAGGCTGCCGTGGACAGTTCTTCCTGTGGAGACCCACACTCCATTCTCTGGTCAAAGAACACATATTCCATGTTCTCTTGTATGTTTTGGAGGGGATGCCAGAGACAGAGCAGAGGACACAGCCTACCCTGTGAGCACATCATACTCCCCGATACATCATCATCACATGGGGCTTGTGACCCACACCTGGCCCACCCTAACCACAGTGTCCGGGGACAGCCACGGACTGGCCAGTTGGTTTAGTCCGAGAGAATCTGGGAACCTGTGGAAGATCATCTACAAAGTTCACACTTGAAAAGAGGGCCTGAAATCAAGTTAGCAAAACACTGACATGTCTTAAGTGAGTTTATGGCTTTAGGTTAGGACACATTTACAGCTCTACTGGCCACAGGCTGGACCCACCTGGTAGAGCTTTTGATACCAGTTAACTAACCCCAGAAGAATCTGCCTGAATGCTCTCTACTCTCTCTGTAGTTACTTAGCCTTTGCTATAAAACCCATAAGGTCCTTAGCCAGAATTCCCTACATTCCTTTTCTGCTCAGTGGCAGAGCCACAGACCATGTTTCTCCTGAGATAGAGTTCCTTAAGCCAAGATAAAGTCTTTAGGCATATTTAATGGCTAAATATGTGGGACAGGCCCCTGAAGACACAAGGGCACTTTGCATGAGGACCAGGGGAAGCCTCTGTCTGTGCTGCTCCAACGACCTCCCAGCACGTCCGTCCCACATGTCAGTCCTGGAGCCTGAAGACCATTCTGTTGGCTTCTAAGAACAGACTGAGGACACAGTGCATACAAGGTCCTGGCCTGGATGCTTAGGGTACCGAAGTGAGTAGGGTCCCTGGATGAGGGTGTTGGTGGACATGAGGAAGAGACTCTGATGCTGGCCTAGAAGACAAGGCAGAAAGGAGGCAGTGATGAACATGCCAAGTGTCGTGTCAAGGTCATGGATCAGAGGTTGCTTTAGGGAAGCAAAAGCAGATTTATTTGGAAGGTGAAGTATGGGGAGACACAGGTGCTGGCTGAAAGCAAGTAGGCACAACATCTGCAAATAAGTGTCTCTGGAGGGTCTCATCCAGGATGTTTGGCCAGACTTATCTCAAAATGACAATTTGGGGCAGACTCCCCCCTCTGGCTTCTCACCATCATATTGGACCATACTTCTTTGTCCTGTTTGCTTTCTGCCCACTAGCCCAACCCTTTCCTAAGTTTCCACCTCTGGATTCTCAGGACACCCATGCAGCTGCTCAAACCTCTGCTCAACCTCAGGCTTGCTATGGGGAGTTATTCCTTAGCATCTGGCCCACTGAGCCCCCCACTCTCAATGGCCCAGGTGTGGCACACATCTGCCTGGCCTGGTGTAGGTCTAGTTTTAACACCTGAGCAGAATTTCTACCTCCTTTTACTTCACTGTTATCTGGTTCCAATTCCTCCCCCACCCTTGTCTGTGCACAGCTCTGTCCAAGCAGACGTCGCTTTGTTGCTGGAGCCCCAGCAAGTCTGATGTCAGTGAAGTTAAGAAATGCATTCCATCAGCTTCACCAAGACTCAACAACTAAAGGAAATTCGGGCTTCGTTTTCATTTTCTTTTGAAGGGATTGTTAAATATCAGTACAGTGTTGACTAGCTGCAAGCTCCCAACAGTCTTGAGTCTCAACAGTGGCTTTGCCCACCTTACAGGTGTCTTGGGGAGATGCTGCTACAGGTCAGCATGTGCAGTAGGCAGGAACCCCTCCTCTGGTGAGCAAAGATGTCCTCTTAGAAGGCAGGAGATTTTGACAGACAGAGGAGAAGATACCTGAGTGAAGCCCAGGATGCAGAGGCTTGGTCTGAGTGGCTGAAGTCTCCTTCCAGAAAACCAGCCCCCATTTCTTTCCTTGCCTGGTTTCCTTTCTCTCTGCTCCAAGTTTCCATCATCTTCGCTGTCCTTGGCACACAGCACATCTGTCCAAATTGCACCCACAGGCTCATGTGTTTGAACAATTGGCCCCCAGCTGGTGGTACTATATGGAGACTGATGAACCTTTTGGATGTGGGGCTTATCTGGCAGACAGACATTGGAACTTGTGGGAACAGAGCTCAACAGGATGAAATAAGTCACAGCCAGCTCCTGCCTCCACCTCTTCCCTGCACTGATGGGCAATATCCATTAAATGGTGAATCCAAGTAAATGCTCCCTCTTTTTGATATTGTTTTTTGTTTGTTTGTTTGTTTTTGTCTTATTTTTCTGTGTCTAAAATTTTCCAAGTATCTTTCAAGGTCAGTTCAAAGTCTTTCTTTAAAAAAAAAAGGATTTATGTTTTTTATTTTATGTGACAATATTTTGCCTTCATGTTTGGCGTTCACAGAGGTCAGAAGAGGGTATCAGATACCTGGAACTGAAGCTATAGATGGCTGTGGGTGATGGGAATCCAACCCAGGTCCTCTGTAACCTGCTTTTAACTGCTGAGC